ACCACATTAATAGGGATCCTACATAAGAAGAGGAGAATACAACTGGAAGAACTATACAACTTAGTTCTCTTTAAGAAGTCCATAGGGAAACCCAGAAGCAAAAGGTAAGGCAAAAACATGGACCCCAGACCAAACTTTAGCCTCTGATACCTACAGCTATAGCAAAAAATAAATACCCAATTTCTACCTACAAAAACATAAAACCCCACACTATTTACCTAAAGGCCTATTTACCTCAGTTCCTTTTATCTAATGTATTGTGTCTGGTTTTCTTTCTTTCTTTCTTTTTTAAGATTTTATTTATTTATTTGAGAGAGAGCATGGGCTGGGGGGGGGGGCAGAGGGAGAGAGAAAAGCAGACTCCCTGCTGAGCAGGGAGCCCAAAGCAGGGTTCAATCCCAGGACTCTAGGATCATGACTTGAGCAGAAGTCAGACACTCAACCAAAAGAGACACTGAGGTGCCCCTTGTCTGGTTTTCAAAAACAACAAACAACAACAAAATAAAACAAAACAAGGCATATTAAAAGATAAAAAACAGGGGTGCCTGGATGGCTCAGTCAGTAATGCAAGCAACTCTTGATCTCAGGGTCATGAGTTTGAGCCCCACATTTGGTGTAGATTACTAAAAAACTCAAAATAAAAAAAGATTTTAGAGACAGAGCCATAATCAGAACCAAACTCAGATATAGCAAAGATGTTGGAATTATCAGACCAGGAATTTAAAACAACTATGGTTAATATGCTGAAGGCTCTAATGGGAAAAGTAAAAAACGTGAAAGAACAGATTTGTAATGTAAGCAGAGAGATAGAAACTTTAGGAAATAATGAAAAGGAAATAGCAAAAATAAAAAACACCTTAACAAATGAAGAATACTTTGAAGGGCTCATCAATAGACTGTGCAATGCCAAAGAACCAGTGAGCCTGAAGAAATGTCATCAATAGAAACTTACCAAACTGAAATGCAAGGAGAAAAAAAAGAATGAAAAGGAGAGAAAAGAATATCTAAGAACTGTGAGACAAAAAACAAAGTATAATTGATATGCTAAGGGAGGGGAATGAAATCAGATAAAATGCTCAATTAAAATCAGAGAAGTCAGAAAAAGAGTGGAAGACAAAAATAGAAACAAACAAGAGCAATGAATAGGAAACAGTAACAAATATTGTAGCTATTACCGAACTATATCAATAATCACCTTATTTTTTTTAAGTTTTATTTATTTAAGTAATCTCTACACCCAACATGGGGCTCAAACTCATGACCCTGAGATCAAGAGTTGCATGCTCCTCTGACTGAGCTGTTCAGACACCCCTCAATAATCACTTTAAACATAAAGGGTCTAAATATAACAATTAAAAGAGACTGTTAGAGGGAATTAAAAACAAAGAAAAAACCCAACACCAACTTTAAGTTCTCTACGAGAAACCCTCTTTAAATGTAAAGACACAGATTAGGGGCGCCTGGGTGGCTCAGATGGTTAAGCGTCTGCCTTCGGCTCAGGTCATGATCCCAGGGTCCTGGGATCGAGTCCCGCATCGGGCTCCCTGCTAGGCGGGGAGCCTGCTTCTCTCCCTCTGCCTCTGCCTCTCTCTCTCTCTGACTTTCATGAATCAATAAAAAAAAAAAAAGTAAAGACACAGATTAAAAGTAAAGGGATGAAGAAAGATATACCATGCTAACACTCATCTAAGAAAGGTGTGGAGATACTGATAGAAACTGATAGAACTGCGAAGAGAGAAGATCTAAATGAATGAGATATTCCATGTACATGGATAGGATGACTCAATATTGTCATGATGTCAGTTCTTCCTAACTTAAATGATAGATTCAACGTAATCCCAATCAAACCTCAGTTATTTTGTAGACACCAACAAATTGATTCTAAAGTTTATATGGAGGGCACCTGGGTGGCTCAGTTAGTTGAACGTCTGCCTTCGGCTCAGGTCATGATCCCAGGGTTGGGGATCGAGCCCTGCATCAGGCTCCCTGTTTGGTGGGCAGCTCCCCCTGCTTGTGTGCTCTCACTCTGTGCCAAATCAATAAATAAAATCTTTTAAAAAATTAATAAATAAAGTTTATATGGAGAGGCAACAGACCCAGTATAGCTAACTCAATATTGGAGAACAACAGAGGACTGACACTGCCTGACTTCTAGACTTACTGTAAATCTATAGAAACCAAGACATGTGGTATTGGCCAAAAAATACATAAATAGATCAGTGGAACAGAATGGAGAGCCCAGAAATAGACACATATATAATCAACTGATTTTTAACAAAGGAAAAAAGCAATCAATGAAGAATGGATAGTCTTTTCAACAAATGGTGCTAAGCAACTGGACAACCACATACAAAAAAAAAGAGAGAAAGAAAAAAGAATCTAGACACATCTTACACATTTCACAAAAAAGAACCCCAAATGGTTTGTGGATCTAAATATAAAATGAGACTATTAAACTTCTTTTTTTAAAAGATTTTATTTATTTATTTGACAGAGAGAGAGAGATAGCAAGAGAGGGAACACAAGCAGGAGTGGGAGAGGGAGAAGCAGGCCTCCCACCAAGCAGAGAGCCTGATGCGGGGCTTGATCCCAGGACCCTGGGATCATGACCTGAGCCGAAGGCAGAGGCTTAATGACTGAGCCACCCAGGCGCCCCTAAGCTTCTTTTTTTTTTAAGTTTTATTTAATCTCTGCACCCAACGTCAGGCTCAAACTTATGACCCCAAGATCATGCTCTACTGACTGAGCCAGCCAAGCACCCTGAGACTATTAAACTTCTGAAAGATAATATAGGAGAAAATCTAAGTGACCTTGGATTTGGTGATAACTTTTTGGACAACAACAAAAGTATGATCCATAAAAGAAAATAAAAGTAATTCTACTGCGGGGTGCCTGGGTGGCTCAGATGGTTAAGCGTCTGCCTTCAGCTCGGGTCATGATCTCGGGGTCCTGGGATCGAGTCCCGCATCGGGCTCCCTGCTCCGCGGGAAGCCTGCTTCTCCCTCTGCCTCTCTCTCTCTGTCTCTAATGAATAAATAAATAAAATCTTAAAAAAAAAAAAAAGTAATTCTACTGCATTACATTAAAAACTTCCTTTTTAAAAAAATATTTTATTTATTTATTTATTTATTTATTTATTTGATAGAGTGAGAGAGCACAAGCAGGGGGAGCAACAGAAGGAGAAGGAGAAGCAGGCTCCCCACCGAGCAGGGAGCCCAATGTGGGGCTCAATCCTAGGACCCTGGGATCATGACCTGACCCGAAGGTAGACACTTAACCATCTGAGCCACCCAGGGACCCCTACATTAAAAACTTCTTTTTGGTGGGGCACCTGGGTGGCTCAGTCAGTTAAGCCTCCAACTCTTGGTTTCAGCTCAGCAGCTCAGGTCGTGACCTTGGGTCATGGAATCAAGCCCCGTGTGGGGATCTGCACTCAATGCAGAGTCCGCTTCAGATTCTCCCTCTCTCTCCCACTCTCTGTCTAATATATAAAATCTTTTTTTTTTTTTAAGATTTATTTATTTGACAGAGAGAGATAGCGAGAGAAGGAACACAAGCAGGGGGAGTGGGAGAAGGAGAAGCAGGTTTCCTGCAGCGCAGGGAGCCCGATGCGGGGCTCGATCCCAGGACCCTGGGATCATGACTGGAGCCGAAGGCAGATGCTTAACAACTGAGCCACCCAGGCGCCCCTCTAATATATAAAATCTTTAAAAAATAAAACTTCTTTTTGTGAAAGACACTGTTAAGAGACTAAAAACCACAAACTTGGAGAAAATCTTTGGAAAACACATATCTGATAAAGGACTGATATCTCCTAAAACTCAACAATAAGAAAACCTCAATTTTAAAATGGAACAAAAATCTAAATAGACACCTCACCGAAGAAGATATACAGATGGCAAATAACCATCTCAATAGATGCTTCACATCATATGTCATTAGGAAATGCAAATTAAAGCAACGAGATACTACTACATACCTATTAGAATAGCTAAATTGCTGAACAGTGACAACATCAATTGCTGGTGAAGATGTGAAACCCTGGGAACTCTCATTTGTTTCTGGTGGGAATGCAAAATAGTACAACCACTTTGGAAAACAGTTTGGCAGTTTCTTACAAAACTAAACATTCTCTGACTCTGTGATCCAGCAATTGCATTCCTTGGTGTTTACTCAGATGAACTGAAGACTTATGTCCACACAAAACCCTGCATAAGGATGTTCATAGCAGCTTTATTCGTAATTGACAAAACTCAGAAGCAAGTAAGATTTCCTTCAATAGGTCAATGGATAAACAAGCTGGTATATCCAGACAATAGAATATTATTAATCGGGCGCCTGGGTGGCTCAGTCGGTTGGGCGTCTGCCTTCGGCTCGGGTCATGATCCCGGAGTCCTGGGATCCAGCCCCGCATCGGGCTCCTGGCTCAGCCGGGAGCCTGCTTCTCCCTCTGCCTCTGCCTCTCTCCCTGCTCAGGCTCTCTCTCTGTCTCTGTGTCTCAAATGAATAAATAAAATCTTTTTAAAAAAACCAAAACCGCCGTGTCAGTACCGGCCCCGTAATTTAACAGAGGTACCATACTAACACAAAATGTCGCCACCACCCGCAAACTTGGTGGAGGGGGTGGTCAGGAGGTGACGTCTGGGGAACTCTGCACTTTTTGCTCCCTCTCTTCTGTAAACCTGAAAGTCCTCTTTAAAAAATAAAGTCTATTAATTTGAAAAGAAAAGACATCATTAGTTGAGTGAAGAGGGAAATGGGAGCCGAAGTTTGGTGTTCCCGCAGCAAAGAGCTCACACCCCCAAAGCAGAGAGAACGTCGACCGGTCCCTGCACGAGGGCAGAGCAGGAGGCCAGCACCGGGCGGTGACGTCGGCTTCCGGGGAGGCTCGCACGCGCTGCGGCGGGACAGGCCGGGACCGAGGCGCGGAAGCGGCCCCGCCCAGCGCGGCGACCATAGAGAGGACGGGCCTCCGGCTTCCTAGCCGGGCGCCGGAAGTAGCCTGGCGACGGGGCGGGGCGCCCTGCGCGGCCGGCCGCCTCCGCTGCCCGCTGCCCTGCGCGGCCGCCCTGCGCTCGGGGTTAGCCGGAGCGCTGGTCCCGCGGGCGTGCGCGTCCCTGCGGCGGTGTCCCCGGAGCTCCGGCTGCTCGCGCGCGGGCCGGCTGCAGCACCCCGGCCCCGTGGCCCAGCCGGCAGAGGGAGCGCGGGAGCGCGGGCCCCCGAGGTGCTGCCCCGGGCCCCCCACACGTGAGCGCGAGGGAGGGCGACGCGCCTGTGACGCCTTGTCCCTTGTTTTGTGTTTAGACGGTGAGACAAACCGGACCCGGGTTCTTCGTGTCACCCGCGGGTCGGCCCGCACGACAGGTGCCCAGAGCTCCGCTCCCCGCGCGCACCCTGTGGCCACCTCGGGGGGCTTTCGTGCCTCCGTCCCCTGACGAGCGACAGCAGCCTCCTCCTAAAGGCCCCGGAGCTTTTCCTGGGACGCTGCGTCCGAGTGGGCCTACGAGAGCGCGACGACAGCCCGCGCCTCGCGAAGGGTCTGGAGGCCTCCTCTCGCGTCCGGGGCGACCCGAGACCCACGCCGGGGGCCGGGGCAGTCCGGGGACAAAGGGACGCCCTGGCGCGTGGCGTACGTGCTCTGCTCCTCGCGCGACGTTTCTGCCGTGTCTTTCTGACCCGTGGCCTTCTTCCCACGCGATGGCAGTTCTGATACGCGGTGTACGTCGCTTCTTGGCCTTTGGGCATCAGCCGTCAGGTCCCGTTCTCCGGGACTCGCATCTGCCTGCCGGGGACGGGACGCGGCTGCTGGCACGCTGCTCCGGAGCGTTCGCACCCGGGCGGCGAGTCTTCGCGAGTCGAGTAGCTCCCTGACTGCCCCGGTGGTTTTGCGGTGCTCATAGTGGGTGCTCCTCGCACGGACTCCTCCGATCCTGAGTTTCTTCTGACTCCTGGGATGTAAGACAAGTGACTCCGGCCGAGCGGTGGTCGTGCAAGTCGGCCGCCAAGCTGAGCGACGGCGCAGCCTTGACTCCCGGGGTCCCCGCTGCAGGGGAACAGGGGGCTGAGCGTAGTGAAGGTGCACCACGGGGAGCGCCGTCCTTGGGAGCAGAAGCCGGGACAGCCAGGCAATGCGCGCCTTATCAGGAGCTTTTCCATCAGCGCTTCAGACACTTCCGTTGCCAGGAGGTCCCGGGCCCCGCGAGGCGCTGAGCCGGCTCCGGGAGCTCTGCCGACGCTGGCGGCGGCCCGACACGCACAGCAAGGAGCAGATCGCGGAGCTGCTGGTGGGGCAGCAGTTCCTGACCCTCCTGCCCGAGCGAGGGGCTGCAGGCCTGGGCGCGGGGATGTCGTCCCGGGAGCGGGGAGCAGGCGGTGACTGTGCCGGAGAGCCTGGAGACAGAACTTGGAGATAAAAGACAACAGGTGGGGAAGGGTTAATCCGTTGGTCATTTATTAGAGCACCAAGGGTCTACCAGCAAAGAGTGGGCATGTGTAAGCAAGGGGATTTCTTTTAAAGATTATATTTATTTGTGAGAGAGAGCACAAGACGGGGGAGGGTCAGAGGGAGAAGCCGACTCCCCCTGAGCGAGCAGCCCAATGTGGGGCTCAATCCCAGGACCCTGGGATCATGCCCTTAACCGACTGAGCCACCCAGGCACCCTCTTTTTGTTTTTCTTTGAAGCTCTGCTGCTTATTTATTTTGTGAATTGGTTAAGACACTGGTTTCTTTATTCTGCTCCCTGTATCCATAGAAACTTTTTTAAATCAAATTTTGAGGTTTTAGCTATTGCCTGATATCTCTGATCATTTTATTTTTTTATTTTTTAGATTTTATTTATTTATTTGAGAGAGAGAGAGAATGAGAGAGAGAGAGAGCACATGAGAGGGGGGAGGGACAGCAGGGAGCCTGATGCGGGACTCAATCCCGGGACTCCAGGATCACGACCTGAGCCGAAGGCAGTCGCTTAACCAACTGAGCCACCCAGGCGCCGTCTCTGATGGTTTTATAAACCCAGCTCTACTTGTACATCCTTAGGTTCAAGCCAGTGCACACTACAGACAAGAAGTGCTATGAAGGGAGTAGGACTTATAAGCCTTGCAGAGCGGCTGCTGACTATCCAGCCAAAGTGCTATCTTTGGGAGTACAGTCCTGTGCAAGAGAATGGGTAAGCCTTAAAATGTGAATCTTGTGTGGTTTTTTTTTTTAAAGCACTGCATATATAGCATCTGCTAGGAAGGAGTATTTCTGGTGAGAAAAATGATGTCTGGGGATTGAATAAATTTAACACCAAAAGGTTATTTAAAAGTGAGCGTATCCAGAGCCAATTTAATTTTTTTTAAGATTTATTTATTTATTTTAGGGGCACCTGGGTGGCTCGGTTGAGTGTCTGCCTTGGGCTCAGGTCATGATCCCAGGGTCCTGGGTTTGAACCCCACATCAGGCTCTCTGCTCCGCGGAGAGCCTGCTTTTCCCTCTCCCTCTGCGTGCCGCTCCCCCTGCTTGTGTTCTCTCTCTCCCTCTTTCTCTCTGTCAAATAAATAAATAAAATCTTAAAAAAAAAAAAAGATTTATTTATTTTAGTGCAGGGGAGGGGGAAGGTGCAAAGGGAGAGGGAGTGAGAGAATCTCAAGCAGACTCTGCACTGAGCACAGAATCCCACTCGGGGCTCCATCTCATGACCCTGAGACATCAACCTGAACCGAAACCAAGAGTCAGAGGCTTAACCGACTGAGCCACCCAGGCACCCCAGAGCTGATTTAATTTTGAATTGGGATATGTGGTTGGTTTTTTATTACTTTTAACTGGTTATGGTAGTGGTCTTCAATTCTAACTGTGAATCCAAATCACCAAGGAGCTGTTTAAAAATATAGATGCCCAGGGGTGCCTGGGTGGTTCAGTCGGTTAAGCATCTGCCTTTGGCTTCAAGTCATGATCCCAGCATCCTGGGATTGAGCCTCATGTAGGGCTCCCTGCCCAGCGGGGAGTCTGCTTCTTACTCTCCCTCTGCTACTCCCCCTGCTTGTGATCTCTCTGTCAAATAAATAAAATCTTAAAATATATATATATAGATGCCCAGATCTACCACAGATTTACTACAATGGGTCCTAGTATTATATTTTTTAATTAGTTATTAAAAGTGCTATTATTATAGAACAATAGTAGTGGTTTATATTTTTTTAATTGTAGTAGGTAGAGGACATAAAATGAAAATAAAAGTTCCATTCCCATGAGTTAACCACTGTTAACATTCTCTAATATATATTCTAAAATCTTCCTATGTGTTTTTCAAGCCCCTGTCCCTCTTTTAGGTCAAGTAGTAGTATACTGTATTGACTTTTCTTATTTTCTATATTCTTGATGCCCTGGCATTTGGGGCCTTGATCCTGGTCAGACTGCCCCTCCCAGGGCTAGCTGGGAAGATTCCTAGAGACAGCAGAGAATACCTCCTGCAAGCACCCCTTTCATATACAAACCAAACAATCCAGAGTCCACTCCCTAGCCATCTCCTTTATCAAACTCACACACACCAAGCCCCTATTTCTCCTGCTGTAAATCACCCCAGGGCCAGGTATTAGACCATTAGAGAACATCCCTACAGCCCAGAGCCTGCCAAAATTATTCAAACTATCCAATCCTAAGCCATCTCAGCATACCTACCCTACCTTGCCTATTCCTTCTCGGGAAAACTCCAATAAAGGCTCTAGACCATGCTCTCCCCTCCCCATTCTCCCCCTCTGCCTCCTGACCGACTTGTGCGCTTTCCTGCATGGCCTGCTTGACATGTCACAGCTGTTGCTAGGGATCTGTGAAAGTCAAAAGCTTTCTTCAGGATAGTGCTTTCCATGCCTCCCTGATTAACTCATATCCACAGAACTACTTTATTCTTTTAATACGTCTTTAGTTTTGTGTTGCATGCATACGTTATAATTAGCTTGCTAGTCTTCTCCTGATGTACATTTAAGCTGTTTCAAGTATTTTTGTTGTTATAAATGATGCTTCAGTGGGTGTCTTTATGTAAAAATCGCTGGCACTTGTGTGAAAATACTGGGAGAAAAAAGTTCCTGTAAATGCAGTCGCAGATTGACAGCCGCTGAATGAAGAGTAGGAGATGCATTACACAGACTGCGAAGCTGCCATGATTACCGCTGAAGAAAGTGGAAGGGAGGACATAGGGTGATGGAGAAAGATAAATGAGGATTTTTACTTTCATACCTTTTGCATTGTTGACATTTTTACCAGAAGTATCTATTCCTTTGTAGTAAACAAAGAGCACAGGCTTTGGATTCCCACAGACCTGTGTTCTAGGCCAGACTTGACTGCTTACCTGCCATGTGATCATAGGCCACTTATGTAAGTTTTCAGTTTCAGTTTCTATATCTATTACCTAGCTCATGGTGTTGTCCTGTCACCAAAGGCTGGCTGATCAGCTATTTATTTCCATGTACCAAACCACCCCCAAAACCTAGTGGCTGAAGGGAACATCCCTTTTCTGTCCTACAGCTCTGAGGGTGACTACTAGAAGCAGGGTGGTCTCTCTGCTGCTTGTGATGCCGGTGTGAGCTGTAGTTAGCCAGGGCCTTTCTGGACCATGATGCCCAAAATACTTTACTCCCTTGGCTCATACCTGAGCAGGAGACGGCCAGAAAGTTGCGCTTAGTGAGACTCTGGGACGGCTAAGCCTCAGGTTCTCATTTGCTCCTCCTGCAGTCTCTCTAGCAGACTGTCCACACTTCTCACACGGTCGCTCAGGGATCTCAGAGATGCAAATGCACCTGTGTAAAGTCTCTGTTCTTGAGCTGACACAGCTTTTCTTCCACCACATTCTGTTGAATGAAGTAGGTCACAGGCCAGCCTAGATCCTGCGTAGGAAGACTAAAGGGGGGTGAAAACTGGAAGGTACATAAACATTGGGGGACCTTTTGAAGATTCTTGGGAAATTTTCATTTCTTTCCTGCCATTTTGAGTTTTTAGATCCCAGTGAGGGCCCAAAAGGCTTTTATTTATTTATTTTTATTCTCTATGACTCATAGGTGCAGTGAGTGTCAAAAACCATTAGGATGGGCGCCTGGGTGGCTCAGTTGGTTAAGCGACTGCCTTCGTTCGGCTCAGGTCATGATCCTGGAGTCCCCAGATCGAGTCCCGCATCGGGCTCCCTGCTCGGTGGGGAGTCTGCTTCTCCCTTGACCCTTCCCCCTCTCATGTGCTCACTCTCTCTCATTCTCTCTCTCTCAAATAAATAAATAAATAAAATCTTAAAAAAAAAAAAACCATTAGGATGATGGTTCTTGATTATTTACCCTAATCTTTCATTAAAACCCTTATATGCGGCATGTGGCATTTAAGTAATTGACTTGCTCTTCCAGCAGGAGGTGAAACCAGGACTGTGACTGGTGAATTAGCTCCAAAGCAGATTTCCGCAGAAAGGAATTCATTGGGTGTTTTCCAGGATGCAAGGTGTGGAAAAACTTTTCAATATGAAGGTAAATCAGAACAGCAAAAGGTCAACCCCACAGAAGTAAAATGACACAAATGTAAGGAATGTGGGAAAGCCTTTTCTCAGAGCTCAGAGCTTGTTCATCACTGGAGAATCCACACTGGAGAGAAACCTTATCAATGTAATCAATGTGGGAAAGCTGTCAGTTATAAATCAGCCCTTCTTTCACACCAGGAAATTCATAATAAAATAAAATGCTATCGATGTAACGAATGTGGGAAAGCCTTCAGTCAAAACACAGGCCTGGGGCGCCTGGGTGGCTCAGATGGTTAAGCATCTGCCTTTGGCCCGGGTCATGATCCCGGGGTCCTGGGATCGAGCCCCACATCGGGCTCCTGGCTCAGCGGGGAGCTTGCTTCTCCCTCTCCCTTTCTCATGTTCTCTCTCTGTCTCTCTCTCTCTCTGTGTCTCTTTGTCTCAAATGAATAAATAAAATCTTTAAAAAAAAAAAAAACACAGGCCTGGTTCTTCATCAGAGAATTCATACTAGGAAGAGACCCTATGCGTGTAAAGAGTGCGGTAAATCCTTTAGTCAAAGCTCCCACCTTATTGGACATCTGAGGATCCACATTAGAGAGAAACCCTTCAAATGTGATGAGTGTGGGAGGGCCTTCAGTCAGAGGTCAGGACTCATGGAACATCAGAGAAGCCACATTGCGGAGAAACCCTACACACGTAAGGAATGTGGGAAAGCTTTCCGAGGGAGCACTAGCCTTACTCAGCATCTGAGGATCCACACTGGGGAGAAGCCCCATCAGCGTGAGGAGTGTGGACGAGCCTTCATTCAGAGGTCAAGCCTTGTTCGTCATCAGAGAATCCACAGAGGGCAGAAGTCTGTGTGTGTATCCTAATTGTAAGAAAGCCTTTAATCATAAATCAGGACTTACTGAACACTTCAGAAAGCTATGATGAATACAGGCCCTATCACTGTGTGTAAATTCAAGAAACCAGGAATGTGGTATATCCATTTCATTATTATTCTAGGCAGTCAAATTGGAATAGATTGTAATATCATACATCAGATTGAAAGAAGCTGGTAACATCATGGGACCAGATTGCTCGCATACTGCTGGTGTCTGCTGTGGATGTTTCTCTTTCTCCTGGTCTTCCAGTCTCCTTTGCGGTCCATCTGTACTTCTTGAAGTCACTATCATCACACCCTAAATATCTTGATGATACAGTGGCTTCCATGTTTTGGACAGAGGACCACTGAGACCATTAGCATGCATGTTCTGCAAAGGAGAACTTAGAAGGATAAGTGGGGAGGGCGCCTGGGTGGCTCAGTTGGTTAAGCGACTGCCTTCGGCTCAGGTCATGATCCTGGAGTCCCGGGATCGAGTCCCGCATTGGGCTCCCTGCTCGGTGGGGAGTCTGCTTCTCCCTCTGACCCTCCCCCCTCTCATGTGCTTGCTCTCTCTCATTCTCTCTCTCTCAAATAAATAAATAAAATCTTTTAAAAAAAAAAAAAAGGATAAGTGGGGAATGTGATGTTGTTTTTAAAGTCTTGTAAATGAGGGGTAAGCTAGGGAGTTAGTTGTGTTTTTTTTTAAGTTTTTATTTAAGTAATCTCTACACCCAACGTGCGGCTCAAACTCATGATCCAAAGATCAAGAGTCGCCTATTCTTCTGACTGAGCCAGCCATGTGCCCCAGGAATTAGGTTTTAAAATGACTATTGGGTGGCTCAGTTGGTTGATCATTCGACTCTTGATTTCAACTCAGGTCATGATCTCGGGGTCGTAGGATTGAGCCCCACGTTGGGCTCTATGCTCACCGCAGAGTCTGCTTATCCCTCTCCCTCTGCTCCTCCCTCTGGGAGTGCTCTCTCTTTCTCTAAAATAAATAAAATCTTTAAAAATAAATAAAAAATAAAATGACTATAGCTTGCCCTTTTGTTTGTCTCTCCTTCACCCTGTTGGTGAGGGGGTAGTCCACCTCAGTATTCTGAGGATGGCCAAACACAGGACACCTGACACTGGACAGATGGGCTTGACAGCAGCTTATCAGTCACACAGCCCAGGGCAGGAGAACGGCACACCATACAGGGCCATCTGGAGCCCAGTGAACAAACAGGGGCTTTGGGATTCAGGCTTTGTAGAAGCAAGAGGATGAGGCGACCCCTGGTTTTCTTGGGAGGATGTCATTGTTTGAATAATTTTCTGTGCAGGCAAGGAGGTGAAACCTCTTAGGTTGAGGATGAGGTGGGGTACAGCTAGTCTAGTTGATGTGGAACTAGTCAGGTGGGGAACACTTCCTGCTGGGTGGGAGGCGTATCTAGCGAGAGCAGGAGAACCCATGGTTATGCCTTTGGGTCCCCTCGAGGCTCAAAGATACCAAAGTAGCACATGAAATTTTAGTCCTTGCTGTGCACTTTGTCAGCTTAGGGAAAAGGCACAGTTTTTGGCAAAGAGTTATGATGTATATATGTATCCTCAACTCTGTACTTTATTCATATGTCTTCTTTTTGTACTTTTAAATCTCAGTGATACACATTTCTTCTCTGGGGGGAAAAAATCCCAGAAGTTCCTCTGGCCATCCAGCACTCCAGCTGGACTTGATCACATATTGGTAGTGGGATTGAAGAGACATCTGGTACCACAGTCTGTAATGCTTCTCCTGCATCCTTGTGACTTTCTTATGCTGAAAACCAGTAGATGTTTCAAGCTCAGCTCCCGCACTGTCCACCCTAATCCTCTGGATGCTTCTGTCCTCATTATGCATTAGTTTATCTTTTCAACCTTGGAATAAACAGTCTGAGAAGCATTGGTGTTGTCTTCTACCTTGAATGAAATATGCTTCTCACTATTAAGACTTGAGAAATTAAAAAGTTTATAAATTAGAAAATGAAAAAAAAATTGGGTATTTCACTATATTCTTATTTTTATGGGGATGGTATGAATAAATACCAACCAAGAAAACTCTGGAGGTGCTAATTGTTCATACCTACTGCCATCAGAATACTTCTATTGTTTCACCCTGTTTCAAGGCTTAGATAGGAAATACTTGGGAGGTTGAAGTCTCCAGGCCAGAAGGAAGTCAATAAATATGACAAAAATAAGAGATAAGTGGATACAACATTAAATCTCCCTGAAGTTAGACACCTTGAAATTTAAAATATAGGCTTTCACAGAAGACCTGTACATTTGAGGAATTTTCAACCAACTGGAGGAATTCTCCCATGAAATGTGCTGATGCACTGAGCTTTTTGGCAGTAGGATGAAAGAGATGAAAACTGGCAGCTAAAAGTTCAGATACATTTGGCAGACACTTGTGTAGCTCATTCATTGTTTTTAAGAATTGAATTCATTGCCAACTTAAAAAATTTAGAGATTTTATGTAAAAATTGGGATTTCCATTTTATTTTGAAAAATTAAGATCTGGCATTATTGGCCCAGACCTCATTGGCATCACCACCCTCCAGCTCATTATGTGACTGGGTGGGCCCTGGAGATGTGAATTTGCTTATCTGGAGAATGACTTCAGAAGACGTTTATGTTTAATAGCAGAGAAAACAGAAACAAGGTGAAGTCAACTTTTACCTTTTTAAAAAAGATTTATTTATTTATTTGAGAGAGCCATTGTACACGGTGGGGAGGGGCAGAGGGAGAGAATCTTTAAGCAGATTCCCTGCTGAGTGTGGATCCCATTGTGGGCTCAATCTCACCACCCATGAGATCATGACCTGAGCAAAAACCAAGACTCAGAGGCTTAACAGACTGAGCCACCTAGGCACCCCATCTTTGACCTTTTTGATAGGTTGCTTGCAAAACAATGGGAAACCATAAATTGAGGAAGTTTTAAAAGTAGGATTATTTGTTGATGTAGGTTAAGTGAAAATAATAAATACATACTGTAGATGTCAATAATTTGACCTTTGCAGCCAAACATTTTCAAAAGCAGAGAGAACAGCTCTCTGCATGGTGATTTGACTAGTACAGATTTCTGAAGATGTTACGTGTTTAAAGAATGGTCATTGCAGGGGTGCCTCGGTGGCTCAGTCGTTAAGCGTCTGCCTTCGGCTCAGGTCATGATCACGGGGTCCTGGGATCGAGCCCCGCATCGGGCTCCCTGCTCGGCGGGGAGCCTGCTTCTCCCTCTCCCGCTCCCCCTGCTTGTGTTCCCTCTCTAGCTGTCTCTCTCTGTGTCAAATAAATAAAGTCTTAAAAAAAAAAAAAAAGAATAGTCATTGCATACATATATGTCATGCATTTTAAGGGTATATACAAAAAGTAAAATATGGATTCACACGATGTATTATAATCTAATTGGAAAGATAAATGAACACAAATCAAGGAACAATTCTGCCAGGAGGAACTGGGACGGTATATAAAGAAAATAGGTATGAGCATTAGTAGGACTTTAGGATGAATTTTATCAGTAAAGGTACTCCAGAAAAATAGAATATGATTGTTTATTTATTTATTTAGGAATCGGCTCAGGCCATTGCGGGGGCTGCTAAGTCTGAAACCTGCTAAGCAGGTTGGCAGGCTGAGAACTCAGGCAGGATTTCCACGTTACAGTTTTGGAGCAAAATTCCTTCTCGGGATAGATCTGGTTTTTTCTCTTAAAGCCTTCAGCTGATTGGGTGAGGCCCACCCACCGGTGCGCCCCGTCCACCAATCGCAGCTGTCAGTCCCATCTAACCACGTCCGTTCGCGGCGGCGGCCACCGTTGCCCACACCACGGGCGCCACCGCCGACGCACAGGGAGAGGCCGCGACCGCGGTCTACGCCCCTCGCCTGAGCCGCGCTGTCCGCGGGCGCCCCACGCACCG